TGTCTTGGGATTTTTCTGTATGAATCCACCTTTGGTGCAAGAAGATTGATTATACTTTACTGCGGATGCAGCAGCAGAGATTGTTAGGCCAGGAAACAAACACAACCCAGGATGTACGGTCTTTTTTCAAATAGTACCTTGAGAACGTTGAAAGTTGGTGGCATTTAGAAGCAAAAAATTTAAAGTTTATTTGTCTCTGCCACATACTATACAGTAATAATTTTTTTTACAACATGTCCTGGTAGGGTTTTGTCCTTTATGTGATGCTAGTGTTGTTTTTTCCCACATTACATTTTCTTCATAATATACTGAAAATAAACTGTTAATAATGTGTTGGTAGTTGGAAATGAAAAAAAATCAACACTACATAAAAAACAGGAATACAGCTTGTTGGAAAAGGATCCTGAAAGGCACCAGAAGTGCAGATAAAGGGGAACTATACCTTCTGGCTTACATGAAGTAAGAGAAAACTCCCCAGTGCCTGTACTTGAGCTGTAGCAAGCCATTCTACCTTAATGGCTCCTTCCATGTCATAATATGAACCACGATATGCTAATATTCACGAGATGTGGAATGATTCCATCCCCATTCAATAAACCAGTGTCCTGTAAAGCCACGAAGATAGTGAACATATCTTCATCTTCATATGACTTGTTTCATTTAGGGTGTCTATTTCAAAGGCAGCCAGTCTTCTGCCCTGAGTTTCATGTTTAAATGTCCACTTTTTTTAAACATTAGTGTTGAAACACAAGTAATGAGATCCTGATTAAACTTCACAGAGATTGCCAGACAATTTTGTATCACCATAAGGACACTTGCTTGTCATCTGCTAATGTGACTGTGCCCAGTTGACCTTGCCCGCCATGTCTGTGAACATTTCAGCTCTCTTGTAAGTGCTGTCAAAGCCTCTTGTGTCATGCTTTGGTTGGCAGTAAGTGAATGTGGTTCCATACCCATTGCTCTCAACAGCACAGGAATGGACAGATATAAGAAGCTTTTTTGGAAGAGTTTTGATGTATGTTAAAATATTGCATTTTGCATAAAGAATGTTGTCTTTTTGTTGTCTAAAATGGTTCATTGGGAAGAGATGATATCTGCGTAATGATGCACAACACATTTTTGATTAGTATTCTCAGTCTCATTGAATATTTGATAGGAATTTGCGTCCCTTACTGTTTCATGATATTTATTTTCTTTATTGAACAATATAAACTTTAGTATTAATTTTATAATAAAGTAGTGTTACACTTTGACAGTATGTACTTGGATTGTTTAATTTCCAAGTTGTTCAAGATGAACTATAAGCTCATCTTTGAGCTTCTAACTAGACTTCAGTTTCTCTCTTTCTGTAGTTGGGCAACTAAAATCCAAAACAATATCTCCATATTTGAAATTTTTAAACATAAACATCTTAGTCACTCATTAGTTTGATCATTCAGATGTCACCTCTCTCTTGTGGTGTGTTTGCAGAAAGAGTATAAAGACAGATTCTGGAAGACTCCACTTTGAAGTTTTTAAATTGTCACCTGTCTTACGCCAGCTGGTCAGGTGACCCCCCCCCCAGTTCATCTTGTTTGAACCTACTTCCATATCACAGTAATTTTCATTCATATAAAGCAGTTTTCAACTGCTTTATCTTTAGAAGGAAGTGGTAATCCAGAGTCTAATCTAGCACAGGGCCAAAGAAAGGACTATACCCTGAATGGGACACCAGTTCATCACAGTGGACCCATCCAAATACACACATACACATTCAATGATGCTGGTCAGTTTGGACAGCATGTCTTTGGACTGCGGAAGGAAAGCAGAGCACCGGGAGACACCCTAAATAGACAGGGAATGAAGATACAAACTCAGAGATTAGGTGCATGAAACTAGAATCAAGTCCAGATCCAAAAACTGTGAACTCAGCACCACATGAATCTTAATGTAACTTGTTGTAAACAAAATTGTTCAAAATATATAAGATAATTATATATTATAATTATTATGATAAAGATAATTGAGTATCTTTTTTTTCACAGAACAATGCATAACTTTGCAAACGGCAAACACTATTTTTTCACTCTTGAAACATCAATGTGACATTTTAATATAACTAAAATACATGTCACTGCAATGTTTTCTGTCTGTGGTGAAAGGAAATTTCCTTGAATTATTCACTTTTTTTGAGCAGTCAAGTGTTTTTGTAGAAACCATTTACTTTGCACAGAAAATAGGTTGACAATACAAACAGGAATAAAAACTCTATACGCATTTTATATTTTTTTACAGTGTGTTGTAGTTTTGGTTTCTATTTTATTAACACCATTTAGAGTCTTTCTGTGGTGGTTTTGTTAATAATAAATTGCTTATACAGGGAAAAAAAAAGCATCACTCAAAGCTCAGGCATACTCAGGGCCTGGTATGACTGTGAGTCTTTCGAGTTGTTGATGGCTTTTGCAACCCTGCATATCCACAACATTTCCAGGGCAACCAGGAATATTTTGGAAAAAATTTAGTCCCATAAGAATGGGCCTTCTGTGATTGGATGTCCTGTCATTTCTGCTTTCTTTCACTTTGTGTTCTGTGGTATAGACTGAAAGTTTTTTTTTTAACTTTGGTCACACAGGTGAATCAACGTTGTAGTTGCTTTAGCTTCTGTAATGCATGTTAAGAATGTAATAATGGTCACAAATGGGATGACTCCATCCAGCCCATTTGGTAGTTAACAGGTCTGAGGATCTTATCTAGCAGTTTGTTGAAAGAAGCCAGGGGATTGGTTTCAACAACATGACTGGGCAACTTTGTTCCACATTTCCACAACCCTTTGTGTTATAATGTGCCTCCTTTTCTCAGTTTAAAATGCTCTTCCACCTAGGTTTTACTTTGCATCTTCTGTTTTATGTTATCAAAACCGTGCTCTTTGTGTATTTCTGTCAATTCTGATGAACATGGATGTGTTATTTTTGTTAGGAGAAATGTAGAAAAAAGAGAATTGTCCATCAATCTAGAGCACTTTTCTATCTAGAGGACTTTTCTACATTTATGCACATAATCCTCCTTTGAAGCAGAGAGTTAATCTAGCATTTAGAGTAAAATGAATTACAAAATTATATACCATATGAAGGTGAGGGATGTACAAGGAACAATCGTGTAGCTACAATAATTTTCCATCCATCCATTTTCTAACCACTTTATTCAATACCGGACTGCAGGGGAGCGGGAGACTATACTGGCAAGTAAAACAAGTTCAGTCAATAAAATAAGTAAGGTTGTTACAAGATAGCCTGTCCTATGCAAGCTGAAACAGTAAGATTTCAGACAGATTAAAGTGAATGGAGCTCTCATTTGACCTTTTTAACTTACCATACCCTTTCATTTCTACTTGACAAGACTGTCAGCTAGAAGCATTTCAGGCTTCTGAATCTGACAAATTCTAATTATGGTCTCATCTAATATTTAGAATTTGTGATCATGTAAAAACAAAAAATGTATCACATACATTTTACAAGTTTTTATTGATCAGTATTGGAATATATTTACAATTACAAAGAGTAACTTCATTCTCTTCATTGTATTTTGAAAATAGGAACAATCTAATTTAAAACATGGACAATTTGATAGACTAAGCAAAGATTTGATTTTTTTGGGCCTTAATTAGAGATGAAAAATAATTGGATACATGCACAAAACATTATTGTTTTTAATGAGTGTTTGCGTTATCCTGTTTATCTCTTCTCTCTTTTAAAGTTTAAATCTGATTCAAACAAATCTCAGAAATTTGGTTACATTTCTTAGCTTGTTGTCACACTAGCGCATTCTTGTTTTGTTGTACTTGTAGTGCCTTGTAAGTGCAATTTATAAAAAAGGAAGTAACCAAAAGGATGATGAGACCAATATTAGGATTAGTCGCTCATGATTCACTTTTAGTCACTCACAAGTTTGACTATTATACACCTTAGAAATCAGTCTGATTAATTAATAATTCCATGTTCGTCTGGGGCAGTGTAGATGACTACTGGTTGCAGACGTCCATACTGTTCAAGAAGGCTCAGTTTTTTTCTGGTTAACTAGAGGCACTGATAAATCTGTTTTTAACTCTGATGTGACAGGGCATTGAAGTGACAGCTATCCTACAAAGGAAGGGGATGTGGAATTTTCCACATAGGAAAATCTGCTCATCTAAAAATGAAATGCTTCTTACAGCCACTACAGTTTCAAAGAACTGGTAGTGTAACTTAGTTTGAAGCATTAAAGACATCAAACACGTGTCCATTTATGGAGGACCAAAATAATGCTTGAGAAATCCTGTAACTTCAAGTCTTACATCAAGAACATTTTTGTATGCTTTATAGAAATATGAGATTGTACACCAAAGAAGAATATAACAAATCTGCTTTGTCATCTATTAGAATACCTTATATTATCCATTTTGTGGCAGTTATATTTTATCTTATCTCAAGATAGTCATGTTTATGTGTTGTAAAGCATTAGCACGATGTATCAAACCAGTGATTCTTAGTTACATTATGTGGCTTTTTTAGCATGAAAAAAAGATTCTTAGCAATATTTAACACAATGATAGCAAAATATTTCTGTTTTTCTTAAGATAACGATAAAAAACTAGAACAGATACAATAGTTTTTGTTGTATGTAAACTGATTTTTTCTCACCAGTCCAACTATTCTGGTGTTTGCTAACATAATCAAGCAGGAAAAATATATGGATCTTCTTTTGGAAAAAATATAACTCTTTTGATTGTGTTGTTACGATATCTGGAGTGAAAGGAGTATGATTTGATGGTTTGATGTCACTCACCTCTGTATCAATTCCTGTTATACTGCACTATTTCATTTTCTTTCTATATGCTCACAGCTTACTTAACACTTTCTTTTTTTCAGTTATCTGTTCTGTGAAAGGAATTACCCTTTCTCAATGTGCCGTTCCTCTCTTCTTTCTTGCTCCATTTATACAGCTTCTTGTTTCTTTTCTTCCTTTTCTTTTCCCGTTCTATGCAGGTGACTTCTATTCCCTTCTCTCTAAACTCCTGGGAGAAAGGGAAGATGTTGTCCACGTGCATAAGTATAACCCCACAGAGAAGGCCGATCTTGTGGCTGAAATTGATAACATAGTCCAAAAGAAGGCTCTGGTTTGGCCCGATCAAAGACAAATAGACTACAATGGCAAAGCAGATACGATTCTTGTGAGGGACAGAATTCACAAGTTTCACAAGTTAGAGTCGACTATAAAGCCTCCTGGGAGCAGAATAATAACAGCTAAACAGCCAAACACAGAAGGGGCAAATACTCGAAAACAAGGTGGGTTTTGGTCTTGCTCAGAAAGACATGACAGTTTGCGTTCAGTGGGGCAAAGTACAGATGTATGTTAAAAGCACTTTAAACGTTTGTCACATTTGCTGTGTTCTGTGTATATTAAACTTTTAATCTTACACTTCATTTTTTGTTTACAAATTTGAATGCCTGGTTAATGACTGCATAGGCTTTAATACCTTTACTGCAGCTTAATTTACTTTAGAAGTTAATCTAGTGATTAAACATTAAGGTGGATTTATAGATTAGAATACTCTCCCAGAGGAATCCCCTGGAGTTATCACTTAGCGAGTTTAAAAGCTTCTGTGATGAGTTTATAATGCCTTCATTCTATGCAATGAAACCTATATTGCAACTAGACTGATTTTACTTTGTAGGGTTATTGCTGCGGTCAATATTTATTGCATTTTTTTGGTCCTGAATTTAGAATAACGAATGCAGTTGGACTGCTATGACTCATGCTCGTCAGGTTTCTATGACAGCCAGCCCACATGACCTCACACACATTTCCAATTGCATTGTGGTCTCTTCAGGATTGATTAGGTTTGGATCTTTTGTGCTAATGCACAAATCTTGTTGCTGTTACAACAAGTACAAATTAGTCATGCAGATAACCACTTTTTTTTTAGCCTTAGATATTCGAGTGTGAGCCTGTTTTTCATGTCGAAGCTTGCTTATTCTTTACACATCTCCACATCTGCAGTTGAATAATTCATGAAGCACTGTTCAGAAATTGTTTCTGTCAAAGTGCAACAGTAATGCCATTGAATTCTACTGAGGTGTGAAGCAAATACAACCATGTAAGGAATCTTGCTGCAGGTCTCACAGTGAGGAAAGCAAATCTTAGAAGTACAGAAATGCTTATCTATAAACATGAGGAAGCTTGAGATGAAACGCAATAAATAATGAGGATTTTTACAAGTTTCATTTAGACATTTGGGAACATATGTAATTGCTTTATAACCACATACTGTATGTAACAGGTGTTTAAAATTCTGGGTTACTGGAAATCATATTGAAATCCCTTTGAGAAGGAAAAGGAATAGTTTTGTTTTATAAATTGAGAACAAAATCATATTCTGTGGCTATTTAAACAGATTTGTAATTATTTTTTTGCAAATTGGTAATTGCAAAAGTTTGTAGTTTTGCAAACTTTTATTCCAGATGCCTTTGTCGATTCTAAAATTATTATTGATTATGTAAATATCTGTGTTTATGTTCACCTTCTTCCATTCCCCCTCAGGGCTTTAAAATCTGAATACAGAGAAGTACATCATAAAATTCATCTTTGGAAAGTGTGCAGTAGTCCAAAAGGAACAATTCATTAATTAAACAATGTATATAGTTTTACATAGCACAACAGAGCAGGTAGTCACTTGTAAATAATTGTTACATTGTCTTACATGGAAAAACAGCATAAGTGTAGCACTAATTTGCCAGTGATATTTGATACACAATATTAAATGTATATTTAATGAAGCACTCCTCCCAGTTCTTGTTAGTGGCTTTTATAATCTATTGATTATTGTTTAGCATTAATGGGCAGCTGTAAAGCAGTTGTACAGTACAACAGAATAGCCTAACTGTAAATTTATAATGTACTAATGTACTTTTACTGCTGAAAGCAGCATTGCTCCATGTGAATGAATAATGTAGTTAAATCTAAAATTATATTGCATATTATGGTGGTATTTAAGCTGTTTAGATGTAATGATAAAATCTACAGGGTTATGTATATTTCATTTTCTTGTTTATTTAAATGGCTGTGTTGCAACCCTAAGGCATTTTGAAGATGTAGAAAATTAGAAAACACAGATAATGTGCAGGACTATAAACTATTTAAAGCAGATTTAATCCTAGAAACACTAAAAACAGCAGAAACAGATGTCATAAAAGTTCAATTTATGCTTAATCTTACACATAATGCACTTTCTTCTCCTCAGATTCCGCATATTGTGCGTGTGCTGTATGTTTGTTCTGAGTAACTTCATTGGGTTAGTGGTTGGGATTGAAAAAACAATGTATTCTGAAGGTAGTTCATGTCAAAAAAGGTTTAAACAACAAACAAAGGGTGGTTGCAAAATACACCAATAAAGGTCCATTCCTAGCTGACACTGAAAGTTCCTATCTACGGTTACAGAGAAGCAACTAGAGACTAATAATTGCAGGTTTGGTTCCTTGACTATGGCTAAGGCCTTTAACATAATAGGCCATCAGGACACCCATTTAATACAGTACATCTTTGATCATTAACAATCGTGTCTGAATTCTTACATAAATTAAATTATATATAATAAATGATTGTGCAATCCCAGTGAGCATGCATTTTTAATGGAAGATGCAATATATGTTACTTGACTACATATTATTGTGTCTTAAACCAACAGGTTGAAAATCAGTAATCTAATGTGTTCTGTTTTGCTGTATAAAGCCATACATTTGGACATTTTAGCCAGAAATAACATATCAGTGCTGAAATCTATATCATATTGTATCATGTGTGATACCGTATGAGCAGCACTTCTTGTCTGTTTACTTAATACCTCTTTCCTGTTTTGCTGTGTAGATTTCCATTGGGAAGAAGTGGCTGACTGGCCTGAAGTTCAGCTCCAGCTTGGTCAGGTTTCTGGACTGGCGCTTGATTCTGATGATAACCTCATCATTTTTCACAGAGGGGATCACAGATGGGATGTAAAGTAAGTTTAGTCACTTGACAATGCATGTAGTCTCACAGTAGAGTCTCACTCTTAATTATAGATACAGTATATGCCAGCAGCCATATCACCCTGCAACTCACAACTGGCAACCCACTGAAGCTAAGCAGGTGTGAGCCTGGTCAGCACCTGGATGGAAGACCTCCTGGGAAAATCTAAGGTTGCTGCTGGAAGAGGTGTTGAGGGGGGGACCTGCGGTCCACGTGGGTTCTAATGCCCCAGTATAGTGACGGGGACACTATACTGTAAACAGGCGCCGTCCTTTGGATGAGACATAAAACCGAGGTCCTGACTCTCTGTGGTCATTAACAATCCCAGCGTGTTTCTCGTAAAGTGTAGGGGTGTAACCCCGGCGTCCTGGCCAAATTTCCCATTGGCCCTTACCAATCATGGCCCATCTATGAATTGGCTTCATTACTCTGCTCTCCTCCCCACTGATAGCTGATGTGTGGTGAGCGCTCTGGTGCACTATGGCTGCTGTCGCATCATCCAGGTGGGGGCTGCACATTGGTGGTGGTGGAGGGGAGTCCCCATTACCTGTAAAGTGCTTTGAGTGGAGTGTCCAGAAAAGCGCTATATAAGTGTAAGCAATTATTATTATTTTTATAATTATTATTGTATAGATTCCTGCATGAATTTTCTTATCTGTTCATTGAATTATTTTGACCTTCCTGCTATACACCAAAAGTGCATAAATGCAGTGCATGAATAAATTGTATGGCAGACATGTATTCTACATGTTAGAACAGTGCAGTTCAAACTGTAGGAAATCTTGCAGGCTGCACTTCACAGCAGGAAGTCAAATCTGTAGTTGAAACTGCCAGTTCAGCAGGTATTAAAAATTAAGGTTGTGCTTTGATACAAAGATTTGATGTATGGCATTTCAAAAGCTATTTCATAACATGTTGTGACTTGAAAATTACTGCTACATACAGAATACACAGTGCTTTCCAGATTTATTCATACCTCTGATTAAATATGAATACAAATCATCAAATAAAGTAACAGAAAGATGTAGTTTGGATAACGTGTCTTGCTTAACCAGTTAAAAATCTCATACTAAAAATCTTAATAGCATTGTACAGAAAAAAGTCATATGAAGTCATATTTGTCATAAATAATTAATCCAGAAAATACAAGGGTCACAGCTACTCACGCCTCTGTAGTTAATATTTTGTAAATCATCCTTTAGCATAGATTGCACTGACAGGATGCCTCCTGAAATGTGCTATGAGGTTCTGGCTCTTCCGAAGGGGATTTTTGGTCATTCTTCCAGACAAAATTGCCATAGGCCCCTCAGAGCCTTCATTTGCCATTTGTGAACAACCATATTGAGTTTCAGCCACAAATGTTTTATTGTATTGAGATCTGGAGGTTACAATGGCCAGTGAAAAACATTTATTTTGTCTGCAGTTAACAATTTTTTGTCAATTTGGATGTCATGCTGAAATGTTCTTTTTCACCCAAGCTTAAGCATTTTGGCAGAGGGAACCAGGTGTTTGACTTAAATCTCCTGGTACATTTTTCCGTTCATGATTTCTCCTATCTTAACAAGGACTCCGGGGCCTGTGTGTGCAATACAGCCAAATGTGTCAAATTTGAGTAGCCTCTTCTCTTTGTTCACCCTGAGAAGAGGCTTCTTCCTTGCACCCAAGCAATGAATTTGCTCAGAAGTACAAAAATGAGACGGAAGAGTTTTGGACAATGTTTTATGGGCAGATTAGACCAAGAGACAAGGTAATAGAAAGGTTCAACTGTGAAGAAAAAAGGAAGTGCAGATACTCCAAAGAACTGCACAACGGTGAAGCATGATAGAGGTAATGTCATGGCTTGGACATCCAAAGTCGCTTCTGAAACTGGTTCACTTGTACTTACAGTATTTATTATGTAATTAATGATGATATCAACAAAATTAAAACCTCAGGTTTACAGGAGTTTATTGTGTTCTTACAGTATGTAGAAGAAAGTGGTTTTGTTGGCAGAACATTTGGAAAATCTTAGTCTTAGACCAAGTAAATATCTCCAGATTGGATGTCAAAACATCCCAGGAATTCACAAAAACTCAAAGTGGCTATAGCAGAGTCTTGGCAACCCATCTCAAATGATCAAGGGAGAAAATGACAGAATAGTTTGGTGATCTTAGTGAGTTACAGCTGATGGAATTCTATCCTGGTCGCTTGTGGGCACCAGGCACACACAGTGCCCCTCACTAGACAGCAGTGCAATTCCTCCATACCAAAATACTGATCCTATGCTGCAACACTTTGACACTGTCTGCCTTGCAGACAGGTATGATGTTACTTCAGTAGCTGGTTCACATTCTCCCCATCTAAATTCCTCCTATTCTCTTCCACAGCAACCTCACGACACAGCGGATAACTCCGCCACACCAAAAAGATTAAATGTAGGGCAGCATGGTGGGGCAATGGTCTTCCCTGTGATGGACTGGCATCCCACCCAGGGTGTATCCTACCCTGCCCCCATTGTTTGACTGCAGAGGCTCTGATTCCCCTATAATGGAAACGGTTTAGAAGATCAATAGATGATCAAATGTATGCATGGAAAAATCCAAAACTAGAATAAATATTATAGTATAGTATATTTAACAGTGCTTCCATAAACACAAATACAAACTGTTCGACTGATATGGAAACATTTTGACTTTGCAGTAATACTTTTTGATAGCACTGTAGTTCCAGAGGCTTCTGTTGCTCTTCTAAACAGCAGAATGTTACCGTACAGTAGATGTGTGATTATTGGATTGAATTTAAAGTATAAATAAATGTGACCTGGTTTCAGGGATACATTTAATTATTTATGAGAAATATGTCTTATCTCCGTCCAACAACATTATAATAACAATGTAATATTTTTAGAATTGTTTTAAGACACATGCAATATATAACACTTTCTGCGATATGTTTTTCTTCCAGTATCATTGGGTTTATTAATAATTTGGAGGGCACTGTATTTACTATTAGCTATGATATTAAAATGAAAGCTGCTTAAAAAAAGTAATTTAAATGATTTTTTTTAATGGCATCTATTTGAATAATTGTATTGTTGTGAATGTAATATAAAAATAAACTAAAATAAAATAACACTAACTAAAATGTTCTATATTGGTATAAATTGAGCTTTGAAGTAAAATACATTCATATTTTAATTAAATTCAGATGGAAGGTAGAAAAAGAAAAAAATCCAGGACTTGGTAATATTTGCTGTTTTTATAATTCATTATTTTGGAATGTTAGCCAGTGGAGAAGCCTCAGACTCAACAGTACTATATTGCTACATTCAACCTACATTAAATCTACATCTTTCTACATAAATGTAGATTATGTTTATTTATTGTTTATTTATTATTTATTGCTCAATAATGTGGAGCCGTGATAGCTCAGACGTCAAGGGCATCTAGCTCCTGACTGGAAGGTCCCGGGTTCAATCCCAGGTAGGGGCAAGCGATGTAGCTTGCTCTAATTCCTTCCAGACTGCTCCCAGGTCTACTCAGCCTGCTTTCCAAATGAGTACCAGGGGTTAATGCTTCCGGGGGTAATAGGCCAGCCAGAGCGTAATGCTGACCACATCACCTCCACCTCTCATGTCAGTAGGTCAAAGACAAATGGTGTCCCTTACACCCCATGGGCCCTCATGGCCTGAAAAGGGACCTACCTTACTCAATACTGTGTTTTGAGTATTTCATTTATGTGGTTGAATGTTTCTAAGATGAAGTGTCATTTCAAAAAATACTTTGTGACTTTCCTAAAATATACCAATTTTAATAACTTACAATGTGTATATTCAATATACTGATATATTTTAGCTAAACGTGTATGTATTTTCTTACAAAAAACTTTGAAAGAAAAAGCAAGCAAACTATTTTTGCATATAAAAGTTTTCCCTATCTGAAAGAAAAAAAAACATGGAGAATATTTCTTGGTATTTGGTGCTTATCACAATATCCTCCACCTGCTTGAGATGTTTGATCACCCAGTTTTAGCAGTATATGGCTCTCTATTTCTGCCCATTCAGTTCCCATAATCTGCAAGAACGTGTACTGTAAGTCTAGTTTCAGTCTTCTTTTACTGCTCTTCAGTCGTTGATAAATGTCGTAATTTTGACTGCAGGTGTGAATTGCCTCTGAAAAAACTCTTAGATTTTGTATCTGTGACAGCTTTTGAGATTTTATTTAAGATTTAAACACAAAGTTTCTCTCTAGGTATTACCTAGTTTAAATATTGCATTGCTCTAGCAGCATGTGCTGACTTTTCCCATGCAACTTAAAGTACTTCAATGCTTTCTGACTTTTAAAACTATTTATAGCCCTTCCTGATATGTTCTATCTAGGGCAGGGGATGAACGGAAAGCATTCAAATCCAGCCTACAAAGTAGAATGTACAGCATGAATGCAAATTGGCAAAGTAGTGGGAACTACTTGAACTGGTTGCTCAGAGGAGATTTAGCCATTCTTAGAACACACATACTTTTTATTGGAGAACGCAATACCTTAAAAAAAATGTCTGCTTAAAAATTCAACATGTATGTAGGAACTCTTGCTGTGTCCATATCTATTTACATGATATTTACACGTGGTATTGGAGGCATGTGTGCCATCTGATGAGACAGTTGATCTAGAAATTCTTTAAGCCTGTGAATTTGAGATACAGTATGTGTCATTCTCCTGTGACAATGATCTTGTGGAAGCTGGAGGCCACATAAGTGTGCTGAAAATAAAAAAAAAAACAGGCAGTTTGTCATTTGAATTTGGTGCACTAAATTTTATCAATGCCTGGAGAAAACTCCCATTAAAAGGAATAATGCAAAACGTCAAAATATCAATTGTAGTCGACTGCAGTATTGCAAGTTATCTTTGCTTTGTTTTGTACAGTACTATGACATTGTGTGATGTTTTTGTGCTAATTTATTGGAGGAAAAAGTTCATTTGTGACTTCAGTTCCGCTAACCTTGTTTTTCCCATAAAGTCTTAAGCTCTGCCTACCATAAGAGTTTTCAGGAACATAACCCTCATGGTTGGCAAGGGGTTTTTGTATAGTGATCATGATACAGGTATTAAAAATAAATAATAAATGTGTTGTACATAGGTAAGTATAGTGAATAATAATTCACCCAATCTCATTTTTCTGTTGTGTGATTTCTGCTGGCCATATACACGAAAAGTGCTTTTATACTGATAATTATTGAAGTGGAGTTTCAAGTAAATTAATATTTCCATATGCCCCACAAAAAGTCAAAATATTCTTGTTAAGAATTTGAGTTCCTAGAATGACATTAATTTGCAGAGCTTTACACCTGGAGACTTGTTCCAGTTGAGTTGTCCTTGCAGCAATGCATCAGAATTGTCCCATTAAGCTATAGAAGCAAAGAAAAAGATCTAATTAATTTTGTAGAACTAGGTGTGAGTAAGGAGTGTGCACCTTTCCATTCATCAAGGTATAAATTATTTACACCTCTTATGAGTATTGTGCTGCCTTGATCTGGCAAGACAATCAATCTGAATTCATAATAGGCCAACCTTCAAGAAACTGACAAATGGAGAAGAATTTTAGTCATCACTATTACATCACCCTGTAGAGGACAGTGGATTATTATTTTTCCCCTTCTTCAGAAAGTTACAGAATTAATTAACTGTAGTGTATACAGCCTCTGAATAACTTAAAATTTGAAGTACAGTAATTCATTTCTAACTCAAACCTAAATATAGAATTCTTTTTGAAATGGAGCAGAACTGCATAGGTTTTGGTCATTCATCTTTCATTTTTGTTCATTACTGAATGGAATGATCTGCTTTACACTGCTTATGCTTTACACCGTTATGAGTAATCCTTTAATGATGGTACATAAATAGAGTGATACGTACATTTCATGAAGTTGCAACTCTTTTTTAACAGTGGCCCTGCAGTTTTGTACTTTGTGGCTGCATTTTCACTAGTGGCTGAAGTAACATGTCTAATTTAAAATTATATGTTAATTGTTTAACGTTTTATTCCTTTCTATTCATGTTTTGTAGTTCTTTTAACAACCAGCGTATCTACCAACAACAGGACCAAGGTCCTATTCAGCAGTCTACAATCCTTGTGGTTGATCCTGCTAAAGGAAGAGTTCTCAAGGCTTCAGGAAGGAATGTGTAAGTGACATTATTTTTGGAAGAGGTTTCTGTTTGTGTTTTTCCTGCCGTTAGCATGTTTTCCCAATATTTCATTTTGCTTAAAAAGCTACATCTTTGCAGTCTTGGAGAGTAGTGGCTTATATGTCTTAACACCTAAGTTTTAGAATAATGTAGCAGAATTGATCATAAATCACTATCTGATATATATATGTATTATAGACTTAGATTATCATTCCAACATACAAATGTTTTTTTCTTTTCAGTGAAAGCATAACCTTACTTTTTTTTTATTCAGCTTCTATTTGCCCCATGGTATCACTACAGACAAAAACAATGACTACTGGGTCACAGATGTAGCACTTCATCAGGTAAATAATAACTCTTTCTGTTTTCAGAAAATACTCTGACAAAAGAGTCAAGGTGCATTAGCTATTTGAAAGAATATCATATTCCCTTCACATCCCCTTCCAGTTTGGGATGCCAAACATAATCTCACATTAGATGAAATGGAAGCAGAT